TTGTTTTATCAAAAAAGTTAAATTAACAAAAACACAAACACAAAAAAGAAATGAAAAAACAGAGATAAAAGAAAATATAATAAAAAATACAAACAAGAAAAGAAAAAGGGTAGAGAGATATCGAAAAACAAAATAAGAAATTTGCCTATCCTAATAATTACTATTATAAGCTTATGAATAGTTTATAAAAATAATATACTACTAAATAAAATAGTCTTTACTCTAAATTTATTTAAATAGTATATGAAAGCTTAAAATCAGTAGAAAATTACTTCTTTGACTATAGAACATAGAGAGTTGGTATTTGATCCAAATCATAGAATATTGTTTGATCAGGTTGTTGTATTTGAGATACATGTCTTGACATGTTTATTGTTCTGTTGTATCAATTTAAGAAGTAAATAATACTAATTGTTTTAATACATATGATATTAATCTTTTGGAGAAAGTAAACTGAAATGCCTACTTTTTATAAAAATTTTTTCAAAAAAAAGTAGTGGGCTGATGAGAGTATATGAGGTTCTTCTTGTAAAAGTTACAGTTATATAGTTCAATTCCTCTATTTCTACTTGATATTCTTGCACAAAAATCTACAATAACATTGCTTCCAAAATATTTTTTTGGTTTGGATATCAAAGATATGAGGAAGTTCATTTTTTTTCTTCTTGCTGTTCTCAAAGAATCCTCTGGTTTGAATACTAAATATACAAAGAAATCTACTCTAAAATGCTAAGACTTGATCTCTATACAAACTGTTTACAATATCTGTACCTTGATATATTATATTTAAGAATTTTGTTAACAACAATTTGTAAAAAAGAAGCTTGACCCAAGATACCAGACCTGCTTTTTGTTATATGTCTGCTTCTTGATGTTTTATATATATAAACTTCATTAATAGCAAGTTTGTTAATATACAACAAGAGTATCATAGTATCTACTTTGTTACTTTTCTATAACTTTAACTATAGTTTAGTTTATTTTGTTGTTGACTAAAGAATCATTAGGAAAAGTGATCATAACTAGATCAATTTCTATTTGTATTGCTTTTTGATATTTTGTATTATTTTTTTTTAAATACAAGTTCTATATAGCTGAGTTCTTTTGCTTTATATTATTTTTTTTCTTTAAAGAATATCCTATTTATGTATTTGCTTCTTTTGCTATAATAAGCTTTTTTTTAAAAATTTTTATTGTTATTTGCTTTATGTGATTTTTTGTTTATTGTGTTTGTATATCTTTTTTATTTTTATTTATTACATAATTTTTGATATGTTTTTATTGTTTATTTCTTATATATTGTGAATTTTGTATAACTAAAATAGATCTTTATTACAGAATTAAGGCTAAATCTTCAAAAAACTTGCAAAAGGTAAAATTACTGTATTAATAATTTTTTATATTTCTTTTTATATTTTTGCTGCTTTTGTTTTTCTTGCTCAAGTTTCTTTAAGAGACTGAATATTTTTTATAGTTTTCTTTCTTTTTTTTAAAACTGTAAATTTAGTTTCTTAATAACCTTTATGTGTTTTGTTGATTTTTTATTTCTGCAAATTTGTGTATAGAAGATTAGTAGAAAAAGTTTTGATAAATAACTATTCTTTTGCTATAAAATATTTATTATAATTTATACTATATATTAATATAATATATAATAATAAATATGCTTATGCTAAAAATTTGATCTATTTTATTATAAAATTATAAAATTTTGAAAAGTTTTTTTTGTAGCTTTTTTTCATAGTTAGGTTAAAGTTTAGGGTTAGTATTATTATATATGAATTTTAGTAGATATTATAGAGTTAAATAAGGACCCCAAATCTCAGTATAAGCCACCACAACTATTATTTTAAAATATTAAAAACAAAAGCTAATATTGCTAAAGAATCAATAATTTTAATAAACTTTGTTAATTATATTAATTATAATTTTTTAAAAGTTGAAAATAAGTTTTTAGAAAACTATATAAAAAAATTAGTAGCTTGTAATAAAAAAAACCCTTTTTATTAAATACTTTACTATAACTTTAGATCAATAGTGAAGCAATTATGCTTTGAGGTTACCTATCACAAGATCATTTCAAATTCCACAAGAGGCAAAATTGATAGCCAGAATCCCGATTAAAGAATAACTGAAAGAGTTATATTGCTACAAGATCTATGAGAGAACAATGATACTAAATAAAGCAATGTGATAACACCATCTGGCAGTGGGCACGATTGCACCAGTAGAACATAAGAGCAGAGTAAGTTTTGTTCCCACATAGGAGTTAAAGCAAAAAGACTGATTGGTCCAGCTGGTAAGCCCCAGCTCTGGGTATGATAATGTATTGGGGTAATAATGACACGAGATTCCAGCCATAAGACAGTGCTATGGGAACTGAGACACCACAGGAAAAACTGAGACCCGGGACATCGAAGGGGTTAGGTCAGCCAGGACCCCAAGTGTAAGCCTCTGCAAACACGTAAGATGAACTTGTAATAGGAAATCTTTGAAAGAAATGGTGGGGCAAAAAAAAAATAATAAATACTCTACTATTAATTACTCAAATTACAAGCAAGATTAAAAGTAAATTTCAAGTTAAATATTTGTTATATTAATATGAATTCACCCTGTTTCATTGACAGTTATTTCACCGGCTTTTAATTCTAACCAATGCTAACTTTAAATCAGGCTAACCTAACTATAAATTGGACCAACTTTAATTGTCGAAAAAATGGTTGCGAAAATGTGATCCCATCGCATCCCAAGAACTTCGGTTTTTACCCAAAGAATTAACTGCTATTATAAATAAGATAGCAAAAAATGGCGATTTCTATAGACACAACATTCACGCGATGCTGAAATTTTAAATATGAAATTTTAGGGATGTTTTTTTTTTGGCTTTTTTTGAGTTGGGTTAGGATTTAGGTGGGAACCTGGCACGCTTAAATTATTTTACATGCAAATAGCATGCCAGAATGCCACCCTGGCAAGCCATAATACAAATAAAACATTATATAATAAAAAAATTTTTCCTAGAATATTATTAACCAATCAGACTACATAATATAATTATATAATAGCGATAGAGATATGCCTTAATGAATTTTAAGCACTTTGCCATGCCAGTGGCATTGCCTACGTATAACCAGTGTTTAAAATTCGATGTTCTCAGTGTTTTCCGAGAACACTTAAAAATGTTTATGAACATAAATTGTTGGAAAAATGTTCTCTATTTGAGAACATTTAACAAAAATTTTTTAATATTAAAAACTTTTTAACTTTCTAATATTGAGAATATCAAAAAATTTTTGAGAATTCAAAAAATGATTTTTTGAGAGCATAAAATTAAATTTGAATTTTAAACACTGCGTATAACCACCGTGCTAGGTTTTCTATATTTAAGGTTAGAGTTTATAATAATAGAGTATGTGGATTTTAGTAGCGTTTACATTTTCAAATCAGAACATTATTAACATAGTACAAAAATACAAAAATTCAAATTTGCACCATTATAATGATAATACACCAAAATTATAAAACTGTGAAAACTCTACAGGGAAAGGTATTTTAGCCCCAACGTTAGCTCTAACTCGTCCATAAATCACATGAATTTTGTGTCCGCGGTTTTTGGCTTTGCCGAAAAAATATCGCGAGCCATGCGATCCTCAACTAGTACTCCGCAAAATCAAATCAAAATTTATTTGATCAAATTTTTAATTAATTTGATCAAATAATTTCAAATATTTGATCAAATTCAAATTTTGATTTGATTTTGTGGAGTACTATCCCAACTCCAATCTCCAACTCGCACTGTGCATTTACGTTATACGAAATATTATTATCCACTAATATGTAATTAATGTTATTGATTATCAAGTTACACCAAGAGGCTCTTGTAGGTTGGAAGAGATCAAGTGTTTACTGGTTCTCGGGATTGTACTCGAGTAGGAATTGTTATTATTTGCTATAGTAAATTACCCGGATAACCGGGTAATCCAATAATAACCGGGTAAAGAATTTCTCAATGAGTACATGGTTCGCGACACTGTTCTGCCATGAATTTATAAGCTTTTAAATTTTCCTTTCAATGATGTAAACTCTCAACCATATACGTACTGTATCTGGTGTATATTATAGGTTTAAAAAATGATGAAATGTAAGAAACCCAGGTCTTGTATATGGCAAAATTTAAATTACGTATAGTTTATGCAATTTTTTTTAGCTCATAACCTTTAAGTTTTATGTATCAAATTTAGAAGTACGCACTGGGAACACACTCTGCACGACGAACATATTCTTTGTTCTTACAAATAAATATGGAATATACACTAAATATAGAATCGCATCATATTACGTATATCGATATACGCAGACATTTATCAAGGCTCGTATTACAGACTGTTTTTCATAATTGGGAAATATCAGCAAAAAGGTGTACCTTATAAAATACAATTCTTAATTTTTTCTTTTTTTTTTTTTTTTTTTTACCAAGTTCATTAGTGCATGGCTAAAATAATAACAAATGTCTTTATTGGTAAGTTTCTTTTTTTTGAACCAAACCCATTTTTAGTACCAATAATTTTGGAAATGATTTTCATCTAATTTATATTTTTTGGTAAATTACGTTCGTAAAACTTGTACTTATACAAGTTGTCACGTGAAAAAATTTAGAAAGTTTTTTACTAGGGAAATTGAATTTCAAAAAGTCACATGTGCATATGAACGAAATTTTGAATTGAAATAGCAATTTTGACTTGTTATAAAAACTTCCTGAGATGTGTACATTTGTGCACATGGTTTTGCACATATGCATATTTTACACTACTATATAACGATACATGATTGGTCAATTGAGAGCTCGAAAATGGTTATCTTGTTACCATTCGTGCTTCTGTTTACGCCAATAATAGTATATAAATAAACGGATTTGTAAATTTCATTTTGATTCATTTTTGATGTAAAAAAGAACTTTATCTTTCAGCTGGTATGTGTGTCCAACTGAATTTATATTCGAAATGAATCTTGAAGAAATTGCTCCGGATTTACCTAAAATCCAAGAGCCAAAGTTGGACGTACTCATACATGTTGGTAAACCACCAAATTCAACAACAATAAAAGAAAATTCACAAGTTTTAAAGGATCAATGTGAATATTTTCGTACTCTTTTGAATGATAAATCGGTAAAAAAAAATGATGGATGGATGGAAATTAATTTACCGTCTATTTCTCCTGAAGTTTTTTATTTCATACTAGAGTAATTATTCTTGATTCTTATGTATTGATTTCGGAGAATTTTACCAATTCTCGACCTTTATTAACCTTTTTATTTATAATTTTACAAATAAAATAGTTACATAAAAGATGGTTGGAAGACTTTTGGATGTCAGCAAGATGACGGAAAAAGCACATTGGATCGACTAATCGCCCTTGATGAATTAGGAATAAAAGAATTGCTTGGTCCCGGCCAAGATTATTTAATTAAAAACCAATCTGGTTGGATTCGTGATAATTTTTCACTTGTTTACAAAACTACAATTAAAATACCTTCATTGGATTCTTTACGAAAATATATACTTGGAATATTACGTCAACAACCTCGATTATTACTTAATCCAAGAGATATTAAATATTTGGAGAAGGATGTTTTAATATGGTTGTTAAAAAAGGAAGACGTTCAAATGGATGAATTAGAAATTTGGCAAAATGTGATTTCTTGGGGAATTGCACAGAATCCTTCATTGGGACCTAAAATATCTTCATGGACCTCGGAAGAGATTAGTTTGTTCGGCGAAACTATAAATCCTTTTATTCCTTTAATAAGATTTGAACATATTTCATCTGATGATTTTTGTAGTACAGTATTACCTTTTCAAAGGTTCCTTCCACCAGAGCAACAACGTTCACCACGTTACTGTTCTTCCGAAGATACATTGAATAACAACGGTTTATTTCCTCGCTTGACGCGACCGAGACGAACAGCATTTATAGATTCAAATATCATTAATATTTCTCATGCAGCTTTGATAGCAAGTTGGATAAAACATAAACCATCAGTGAATTCACAGGTTAGAACCAACCTGAAATTTCAAAAACCATCATCAATCCCTTATAGTTTTCACCTTTTGTATCGGGCGAGCAGAGATGGATTTTCTGCTAAAGCATTTCACAGATACGTTGATAATTGTTTAAACTCGACATTCATTATTATAAAATTAAAACTTTCATCACAAATAATTGGTGGCTTCACCTCAAAATCATGGAAATCACCCCCATTAAACTTCCCTAAGATTGTAAACGATCATGAGTCATTTATATTTTCATTATGCGATCCGAGTGGCGATGAAAGATTTGCTGACTTTAGCAGGCCTAAGTCTGGCTATTTTCCTTTTATGTTTAGTTCAAAATATATATATTATGGAAAAAATGCTATTAAATTAAGTAAATCTAGACCTTCTTTTGGAAGGACCGACTTACAAATCAGAGATGGAACTTGTTTTTGTAAAGTTTGTGATTATGATAAGGCTATTACTTGGGGTAGTGGAAGCTTTGAAATGGAAGAATGTGAAGTATTTAGCGTTAGGAGAAAAGACAAGATCCTTTAATTTAAATTTCTGTACTTATGAGATTTTATCTTAGATTGATGTCTATATGCTGTCAATGGTATACTTTAAGTAAACAAACCAAATTTTTGTATTTAATCATTAATATATATATATTCAACCTTTGTTTTATAAGCACATACCATAAAACTGCGAATAACGATTATGGACGTTATTTCGAAAATCGGATCTTTTAAAAATAGCAATACCTAATTTCAAAATAACGCGTTGAAATAACGCGCACTCATATAGCAACGGATTTATGATAAAATAATAATCTGGCTCAAAAGATTGGGTTTTTTATCTTGGAATAATGCGCAGGTGTGCGTGTTTCGGTATTCATTTGGGAAAATTAACTCTAATAATTAATTACCACTTTTCGGATTCCTTGTATTTCACATTGAGACGATATTTCACACGACAATCAATCGATAGTAATCTTACAGTTATGTATTCCGAGCCGATCGGCATATTGCTGTCGTGCTACATGTCTTTACCTCTGTGAAAAATATTTGTTCTTTCATAGGTACGTATTTTGTGAAACAATGGGTCTAGACTCTGTACATGGATAAAGCGTGGACGACACAAATGATGTCTTGTTCATAACCAAGTTGAGCAAATGAACAACCAAATAGAGAAGGTTGCCATCTGCCTTCAAACCTTGTATAATATTCAAATTCTGGTAACCTCCTTACAGACTTGTTTTTCTGACTGAAAATCATGATTTACCGCTATGTGCTGTACGCATATAACAAGTTTCCTATTTGTGACTGTGGAAAGTAGCACTAGAAAAGGGATTCACCATTGGTAATGACTATGAAATGAACGACTTCTTTTTTTTTAAAAAAAAATTATCGTATCGGGAGGAAATGTAATACAGTATTACAGTATCTTCCGAGTTGAAGTTTGGCTTAGTCGGCTTAGATAAATAAGCAACGGTAATAAACTTATTAACGACCTGCGTCCATGCACTATCTTAACACGGATATTGTCAGGGTAATCTCGAATTGTGAATGCTGGGGGATTAATTATAATGTTCCTCCCTTTGTCGTTGTAATTAGGGTTCTGCAATTAAACTGTAGTGCCCATGCTCGTGTCAGGCATTTGCAGTGCTATAGTTGCAATCGTTCTTCGTATTAACGGATAAAAGTTTGACCAATATTATCGCATCGTTTATGTATGTCAATAACATCGAGCATTAAATATCACATGGCAAAAATACGTGAGATTTTAATGATAGAAATTTAAAATTGATAATGAAATTTGTATTTACATAAAATTGAAATGATAAAAATGATATATGAACAGGTGATAAATACAAATGATAAAAATGATGGAAATAATAAATTACATTTACTCATGTATAACATCAATAGAATCACTTTTACCAACCAAAGTTTTATGAAAAATTCTTGCTCTCTTACTCTCATCCCACATATCCTCACTGGCAATTTTATCAACCTCATCCAAAACCTTATTCGATTCTTTTTCTAGTTCCTCTACTTTTCTTTTCAAATTTTCGGCTTGTTCATCGTAATATTCGCCCATACCAACTGCAAAAGCACTAAGCATCTTAACCAATCTCCATAACCTAAAAACGATCAATAGTCCTGCAGCTTCTCTCTGTTTTCCCTTTAAAAATATCTCTAAGAAAAATGTTGTAATAATAATAGTAGCATCAAATAAATGAAGGAGCCAATTGGATCCTTTAAAGTAATAACTTAATCCAAACACGAAAAGATGCAAGGCAATTTCAATCATAAAGAAACAATCGATAATGAAGGCAATTAATGACAAGATTTCTATTACGATATGTTCATCCCGTTCCATGTTTGGCCAAAGAAATGTGACCACAATCGTCGTCATAACGCAAAAGAAATCCGCAGAGACTAGGAAAAGAATGAACCAATGCGTTTGACGGCATTCGAGTAGAGCTTTGATTCGATCATGGAAACTGTGTCGTTTTACAGAACGAGCTTCTTCCCCCGATGGTAAAAGATATTCGGTTTCTATGGTGTTTGGATTCATTTTCGTATAAAATCGGATTGGGGAAGGGAAATCGTTAACTGGGGTATGTGATTGGAGAATGTCAATTTAAAGATGTCGATTGTGAAATGTGATACAAGAAGCCCGCGCAATAATTATTTGCCAAATTTTACGATTTTTGGATAGCATGAGGAAATTTTATTTTGCCAAATTTTTACGATTTTTGGATAGCATTAGGAAATGTTATTTTTAATATTCGAAATATTCGAAAACTTTCAATTCAATCTTAATACAATTATAATATTATTACTAACCGTCATCATTGCTTTTGCTTTCGCAAAGTTTTTTTCTGATGATGATGAACCTATAGAATTCTCCGTTCCGGTGCCTATTGGTGGGTAACAATTTAAGTGGATGTGAGAATTGGTTATTGATAAATTGACATTGATTTCTTTTACAAGAGGCCAAACCCGGATGGATTGATGGAAAAGTACTGGATAAACCTACCATAAAGGTAAATAAATAAATAATAAATATTTGAAAATACAATTTCTACTGTTTAACAAAATTAAACTACCAGGATCCCCAAAACCCGGGTTATATTGTATGTTATGATCCAGCAACGGGCCAACTATTATCTAACATACGTGCTCACACTGAACAAGATGTGATCGAAGCTCTAAAAAAAGCTCGCAACGCCCAAAAAAAATGGGCACAAACCACATTTAAAGAACGGAGAAAAGTGTTAAAAAGTTTACTGAATTTTATTGTTAAAAATCAAGAAGAAATTTGTTGGGTTAGTTGTCGGGATACTGGAAAATCATGTAAGCATGCAACAACGACAAAAAAATAAAATAAAATAAAAAGTAAAAAAAATAGACTAAAAATTATGCATCCATAACAGTGGTTGATGCGAAAATGGGAGAAATACTAGTCACGT